GAGCTAATGACGTCAGAAACTACCCACTCCTGAAACCTCCCGATTTATCTCCTGGATTCAGACTGAGGCGGCCCACAAAAACATGACTGAGTCATTTTTTTCACACTTTGCCTGCTGATAGGCCCTCCACAGTCCCAAATGTACACAATCATATGATTAAAAACTTGGTTTTTGCATAATATGTCCCCTTTAAAGTTCCTGTCCTGTATTTTTTTATGTAGCTCTCACTTATCTGACCTCATCTACCTTTGTCCTAATGGCTTTAGCCACCTGAGGTCTTACTTTCCAAGAAATCAAGACAGGCCCCTCCTTCATGGGAACAAAACCACAGCAGCTTTCATTCTTTGACCCGATAGCTCCCCCTGCTGGCGGACCCCTTATTTCACTGTGTGAAAATGTGAGCGTAGCCTTTAATGTGACAAAACCCTTCATAGGAATGTTTTTTCCTCTGAAAAAAAACAGATTTGTGCTTGTAAAGAAAGTCGAGTTTCGGATTAACGCCACAATCTTTAAATGATTCCAGCATTTATCAAAGAGGAATTGATTAAAACCCTAAAAGTTCTTTAAACGGGGGAAACATCCGTTTTTAAAATTGAGGGACTGGACGGGAACGGCATGTTATTAAACCAGAATTTGAGTCTGAGGTTGATGCAGAGCTGATAATGACTGAAGCAGGCCGGGACATGTAGCTGTGATCTTTGTGATGCCGTGCTTTAAGTCATTACATTTAAATTTTCTGTCCACGGACAACTGTGAAATGAATTGCCGTATTCGAATTTGCAAGCCTCTGTAAGTCTGCGTAGCTCCACAGGTGAAGAGTGTTTCAGTATTAATGGTTTTATTTGAATAAACCCCGGAATAAAGGGACTTTCACAGACAGAAAGCAAATAATGAGCGACGGTAATGACACATCCCTGAGGAGGGATTTGAACCGGCAACGGCTAAAGCTGAGACTAGGTCAGGTGACAGTTTCCTGCCGGAGCAATTAAAGTGTGGAGGAGGTTTGGAGGGAGGAGGACGGGTTTCATCTCAGTGTGCGCTCAGGCGTGAACGGGAGCTCTCACAGAAAACCGCCTCCCGTTTCTGCATTCTTATTTTATTACGGATGTACTCCTCTTTTCTATTAGATTTCATTTGGCTTTGCCCATTCCGATGCCTCCTTCATAAAACCCACCGCAGGTTATTGTCTTTTTCCTCTACCGAAATATCAAAATGAGCTCAAGTTGGACGTCCTTACATCTAAATGCGTGTTTGACCTGCAGTTATTTTTCGTAATTTGACGGTCCGGATTCAGATTTTTGGGTCATTTCTGTTTATTACCTGCATACAGTGGGGGAAATA